GACCATGTGCGACGAACACACCCAGAAAGATACCGATGAATTCCTCCGCCGCTCGGGAGTGACGCGACGCGAGTTCGGACAGATCTCGGCGGCAGCGGGCCTCGCGGCGATGCTGCCCAGCGTCGCAAATGCCCAGGCGGTCACCGAGACCGATGTGGAAGTCACCACCCCGGACGGCGTGGCCGACTGCTACCTCGTGCACCCGGCGACCGGCCGGCATCCCGCGGTCCTGGTCTGGCCCGACATCCTCGGCCTGCGCCCGGCATTCCGCGCCATGGGCAAGCGTCTGGCCGAGTCCGGCTACACCGTGCTGACGGTCAACCCCTTCTACAGGGACGCGCGGTCCCCGGTCGTCGAGGAAGGCGCCAGCTTCGCAGACCCGGCAACTCGCGGCATCGTGTTGCCGATGGCGGGCAATCTCAACGCCGACACCCCACTTCACGGACGCCAGAGCGTTCGTCAGCTTTATCGATCAGCAGTCAGCGGTGGATACCGGCAGGAGAATCGGCACCACCGGCTACTGCATGGGTGGCCCGATGGTGATGCGAACGGTGGCGGCCGTAGCCGATCGGCTGGGCGCCGGCGCGACCTTTCACGGTGGGGGCCTGGCGACCGACGCCGACGACAGTCCGCACCTGCTCATTCCGGACACCACCGCGCAGATGCTGCATTGCGTGGCGGCGAATGACGACGAGAACAACCCCGACGTCAAGAACATCCTGCGGGAGGCGTACGACGCCGCGGGCATCCCGGCAGAGATCGAGGTCTATGCCGGCGCCATGCACGGCTGGTGCCCGCCCGACATGCCGGTCTACAACGAGGCGCAGGCCGAACGGGCATGGAGCCGGATGCTGGTGCTCTTCGAAACGGCGCTGGCGTAGCAGCCCGCGGCAAGAGCCCCGCTGCATTCGAGCGGCGTTGCATCGAGCCGGGCGCCGCGCCCGGCTCAGCGTGCGGTGTAGGTCTGACTGAAACCGTTGCGGCTGTTCGTGACGGTGAATGTACCGTCCCCGCTCACCGAGGCCCGAATCCAATGGCCCTCGCAGGCGTCGGTCTCGTCCAGGTTGGCGATCATTTGCTCGGCCGTGTTGTGCGCCGGATCCGGGTCGAGCAATGAACGATGCCCCTGCCAGATACCTTCGATACCCGGACTCTGCGTCATTCGCTCGTAGTGGGCGGTCGAGACCTCGCGAAATCCGGGTGAGGTGCCGCCGAGTCCCTTGCGTGGACCGTTATTGACGACGATGACCTGCGGCTTGATCGCGAACACGTGCGCCGGCGCGCCCGCATCGTCCCAGGCCGCGTGACGGCTGGTCTGATAGAGCGTGACCTCGCCCACCTTGTTGATGGGACACGCCAGCTCGAACTCCTTGGCCCAGTTGAGATCCCCGAGGTCGAGAAAGGTGAACCGGCCATACGTGAAGAGCGCTCCGACGCTGCGCTGATTCTCCGGGCTGGCCTGCGGTTTCTGTTCAGCCGTTGCGCACAGCGGGTTGGGTCCGCCGCCGTTGACGGGCGTCTCGATCAGGCGGCCATCCGACGCGATGATGTCGATCTCGACCGCGCCGAACGGGATGCGCTCTCCCGCCGCCACGACGACCCGCTTGTCACCGCACACGCGCAGATAGCGTCGACCCATTGCTGGTTGCTCTCTTCGGTATTGTCCCATGGTCGAGACAGCGCTCGATCGGGATCATCCCGGCCAGGGCCTCGAGCCCGCCGACGTGATCGCGGTGATAGTGCGTGATACCAGATGGTCGATCCTGGTCAGGCGGCCTCGCGGGCGGCGGCGGCGATGCGCTCGCGTCACGGTCGTCGTCCGCCGGGAATCCGGTGTCGACCAGCAGGGACTCTCCGCTGGGAGACACCAGCAGCGTGGCGGCGCCCCCTTCGACATCAACCCAGTAGATGTCGAAGGTCGGGGACTGCGCGCTGACGGACTGGACGGGCAGGCAGGCGAGCCCGACTCACACACATCCAACGACCATTGAACGTCATCGCGTGTCTCCTTGCCGTGAGGCCTCGATTCTACGGCAGCCGCCGCGAGAGGGGAAGCGGTTCGCGGCGCGGTCACGGCCAGTCGCGTCGCGTTGTTCACGTTCTTCATCCGCACATACGCACGAGCGATGACAGAATCAGACGAGAATGCGGTATCGGATGCTCGGGGGACTCCTGGCGCTCACGCTGATTGCGGGTTCAGATGTCGCGGCGACCCAGCCGCGGACCGCGGTCTCGGGGCGTGTCATCGATGGCATCACCGGCGAACCGCTTGCAGATGTGCGCGTCGAGACGCCGGACGCCCACACCACCACGGACCAGGAGGGGCGGTTCGCCCTCGCATCGAGCGCCCGCATCACGCGTCTCCGTTTCCTCGCCAACGGGTACCTCGACACGAACGTCGCGGTCGACGCGGCCGAGCTTGAAGTGCGGCTGTTTCCAAACACGTTCACCGAGACCGTGGACGTAGTCACGGGGCTTCCGGGTTTCACGGACGCGCCTGAGCAACCGTCGGCCACCCCTGTGTCTTCGCAGCAGGTCTTTCAGGCGGCCGGCGCCGTGGACAACGTGTTTCGCACCCTCGACACGCTTCCAGGTGTCGCCCCGACCGACGACTTCGGCAGCCGTTTGTCAGTCCGCGGCGGCGCGCCGGACCAGAACCTCACGATGATGGACGGCGTCGAGATCCACAACCCGTATCGGTTGTACGGCATCGCCAGCGCGTTCAATCCGGAGACGGTCGAGAACTTCGACCTGCGCGCCGGGGGCTTCGGCGCCCAGTATGGAGACCGGCTCTCCTCGCTGCTCATCATCGACAACCGCACGGGCGGGCGAACGTTTCGTGGGACGTCCGCCGCCAGCATTACGGATGGGAACGTCGTCATCGAAGGCCGGACCCCCGGACCCGCCCGAGGGTCCTGGTTGCTGAGCGCACGCCGCACGTACTACGACCTCGTGGCGGGCCGCCTCCAGGATCAGAATTTTCCGTCGTTCGCGGACGTGCAACTGCAGGCGGACTGGGAGTTCGGCCCTGGGCATCGCCTGTCGCTGCTGGGGCTGCGCAGCCGCGAGGATGCCGACCTCGACATCGATGGCGAGCGGCCCGGCGAGCGGACCATGCTCGGCTCGGAGGCCAGGAACGACCTGGTCGCTGCCCGGTTCGACGCCGTGCTCGGATCGCGGGGCAGATCGAGCACGGTCGTCTCGACGTATCGCAACACCGAGTTCTTCGATGTCAACGGCACCGTGCGCGCCAACGCCGAACGGTCGAACGCGGTCGACGACGCGGTCGGCGCCGGGCTCGCCAACGTCATCTTCAACCGGTCGGTGACGATCGACGATCTCGCCGTTCGTCAGGAACTGTCGTTCCAGGCCACCCCGCACCACCTGCTCGAAACCGGCTTCGAACTGCACCGACTCACGACCGGCCTGAGACTGTCGATCACGGGCGACAGGAACACCTCCGCGGCCAACGGCTCCAGCGTGCAAGGGGGCGCCGGTCTGCCTGACGCACTCGATTCTTCGCTGGCGGGGACGCGAGGCGGTCTCTGGATCCAGGACAGCTTCCAGCCGTCCGCCCGCATCTCACTGGAACCGGGACTCCGTCTGGACTGGAGCACGGTGAATGGAGACAACACCCTCTCACCCAGGTTCGCCGCAAGCATCGCGACCGGGCGCGGCATCCGTCTGCGGACGGCCGTTGGGCTCTACACGCAGAGCCCGGGTTACGAGAAACTGCTCCAATCCGACTATCTCATCGACCTGTCGTCGGCACGCGAGCAGCGCCTGAGGCATGAGCGCGCCACCCACCTCGTGGTCGGAATCGAGAAGGCGATCGCCGCTGACGTCAACTTCAGGATCGAGGGGTACTACAAGGCCTTCGACGACCTGATCGTGGGCCGTCTGGAAACCGATACCGAGCGCCGAACCCGGCTGGCCGCCTACGATTTCCCGGACACCCTGCACGAAAGCGTGCCGACCGCGCCGGTCATCACGAGCAGCCCCGTGAACGACGCCTCCGGCCGAGCCTACGGACTCGACGTGTACCTGGCGCGCACCGACGCGGCGGCCAGGCTCACCGGTTGGATGTCATACACCTGGGGCCGCGCCGAGCGTCACAGCTACGGGCGCAGGTCCATGTTCGAGTACGACCGCCGACATGCACTCAATCTGGTCGGACGCTACGGGCTCACGAGCCGTTGGATACTGGCGGCGACGGCGCGTCTGGCGAGCGGCTTTCCCTATACGCCGCCCATCGGCTTGCGTGTCGCGGCCGTGGAGAACGCGCAGGGCCGTCTCGTGCCGCGGACGGATCTCGACGGGAACCTCGTCTACTCCGTCGACTATGGCGGTGTCGCACACCTGAACGCCGGACGGCTCCCGCACTACGCGCGCATCGATCTGCGCGTGACGTACCGTCGGGGCGGTGCGACCGGACGCTGGTCCCTGTACATCGAAGTCCTCAACCTGCTGGACCGCAACAACGCCATCGCGCTCGAAACGCGTCTCCGCCACGACCCGAACGCCGAGGTGCCGCGGCTCGTCGAAGTGCCGGCGCAGGGGTTTCCACGCATCCCGACCATCGGGTTCCGGTTTCGGTTTTGACCCGCCATGCACGAATGATCAGCGCCGCGGCGCCCCCAGGTGCCGGGCGCCACCGCGACCTGGACCCTGCGGCTCGACGCCGGAACTACCGGCCCAGGATGTGCCGCAGCGCAGGCTCCAGATCCGGGTGCGCGAACTCGTAGCCTGACCCGCGCAGCACCGCGGGCTCGATGCGCGCCCCGGTCAGCAGGAGGGCGTCCGCCATTTCCCCCAGCAGCAGACGAAGTGCAAGCCCGGCGCCGGAAGCACGGTCGGCCGACCCAGCACCCGTCCGAGCGTCCTGGTGAATTCGCGATTGGTCACGGCTCCCGGAGCCACCGCGTTGACCGGCCCGGCCAGCGTGTCGTTGGTCAAGGCATGCAGCGTGATACCGAGCAGGTCGTCCAGGGCGACCCAGCTCATGTACTGATCGCCCGACCCCAGGACACCGCCGACGCCGAGCCGGAACGGCGCAGCATCTGCTTGAGCGCACCGCCGGACTCGTCGAGCACGATGCCGATGCGCAAATGAACCACCCGCAGACCCCGTTCACGCAGCGGCGCGGCGGCCGCTTCCCATTCCCGGCACACGTGCGGCAGAAACCCGGTGCCCGGCGCGGACGACTCGTCGAGCCGCGCGGCGCCCCGATCTCCGTAGAAGCCGATGGCCGACGCCGACACGAAGACGGCGGGCGGTTCATCGAGCCGCAGCAGCGCCTCGCACAGGCGTTGCGTCCCCGTGACGCGGCTGTCCCGGATGCGCCGCTTGCGGGCCGCGCTCCAGCGTCCGCTCGCGATGCTCTCGCCCGCCAGGTGGACGACGGCGTCTATGCCGTCGAAGGCGCCGGGGGCGAACGTCCCGTCCGAGGGGTTCCAGGAGGTCGAGTCCGCCGCGTCGGACGGGGCGCGCCGCAGCCGCCTGACGGTCTGACCGCTGCCCTCCAGGAAGGCGGTCAATGCCGACCCGACCAGTCCACTCGATCCTGTCATCAACACGTGCATGGCGTCTCCCTGGTTGCGCCGATTGAACCTGATGTCACCAGCGGGAACATTGCGCCTGACGTCACCAGCGGTGACCTGAATCCTGACGTCACCGGCGGTGACACGGTGACGATAGCCGAATACCGGTTCGATCGCACGGCGGGCAGCTCTGACCAGGGATCGGCCCGCGAGCCCGACCGGCGGCAGACCGCGAGCCCGGCCGGCGGCAGACTGGCTCGAAGCGGTGGTGGCCGAGGTGCGGAACACCTTCGGCGAGCAGTATCAGTATCTGCTGCACGACACCGCCGGCGACACCGGCGGCGGCGAACCTGCTACTGCAGACGAATCTGCACGGCGAGACCGTACTTGCTCTGACCGCGCGTCTCGACGTAGGCGCGTTCACCAGCGACCGGAATGATGCCGGAAAGCTGCTGGAGCGGGTTGGAATAGTCATTGTGGAAGAGCCCGACCGACACGGCGTCCGTCAGGTCCACGAAAAGCCGCATGATCCAGGCACGCTCGTTCTTGCCGAGTTCCGAGCGATACAAGCCCTGGGCCTGGAGATACTTCGCGAGGGAATCATCCCTCAGCAACTCCTCGCGCACCACCGACACGCCGGCCCGGACGCGGTCCGTGAGCGGAAAACTCACGCGGCCGCCGACGTAATACCCCGGTTTGATGACCGGGTCCGGGTTCAATCCCAGCAACTCCGCCGAAGTACGGGTCAGACCCCAGACGTAACGCGCATACTCGCCGAAGACTGAGACATATTGGTTCGGCGTGTAGCGCGCCGACACGACCACGGCCCGGTCGTGGCGCTTGCTTGCGTAGAAGTTGGGAAGCCGCTCCACTTTCGAGCCGGTCTGCCCGAACTTGTACGCGCCGCGGATCTCCACCTGCGGCACCGGCGACAACGTGCCTGACAACAGGACCGTGAGATCCGCGTTGCTGTCCAGCGACCCGTCCTGCCAGTAGAAATAGGTGTAATCGTGGAACTTGTTGCCGTCGCCCGAGAACGCGGCGACGTCCAGCCTGGCGACGCGCCGTCCGTCGGCAGCACGCCTGGTGGCGCTCAGCCCCAGGCCGGTGTTCGCCTCGGTGTTGATCCGGCTGATGTGGGGCGCATCCTTGGCGGTGAACGCGCCGGTCTCTTGCCAGGTCAGCCCGATCGGCAGCATGAACCGACCGAATCGGCCCCCGAAGAATCCTCCATCCTCGTACTCGACATACGCCTGGCGAATCGCTCCCTGTTGCTGCACCGGGTCCAGCGCCACGAACCGATAGTCGTCCACACGCAACCGTCCATCCGGAACGCACTCGACCGACGGTCCGATCGGGACGTTGCCCGGGTTGTTGGGGTAGAAGAAATTCTCTTCCCCGCAGGTTGGCAGCGGTCTGGTCTCGTCGACCGGGTTGATCTCCAGGTGATACCTGAATCGGTCGTTCAGGCGTCCCGAAAGCCCCACGATGACAAAGCCGACCCGAGCCTGCTTTTCGAAGCCGAGCGTCGCGATGGCCGGATCGTGCAGGTAGCTGGCCATCATGGAGATCGTGATCCGCAGCCGGTCGTTGTCGGGAGGCGTGATCCCCGGCGTGTCTTCGTCGGACTGGACCTCACTCTCCTCCTCTACCTCATCACCGCCCTCGGCGACGGGGGGTGATGCAGCGGGCGGCGTGACTCGCTCGGAGGTCTGTCCGGCCACCGGGCGGATCAGACACACGGTGAACGCGAACACGAGGATCGAGACGGCAACGCTGCGGGAAGTCATTGAATCGCTCCAGATTGCACTGCGGCCTGCACGATTGCCGGGACAGCCAACGAGGAATGCGTGATTCTACAGGAAGTACGAGCCGCGGGCGATGCGCGCATCAGCCGCTACGCGACGCGAGGATGCGCCCGGCCGCCCGCTCGCCGGAGCGCACGGCGGCGTCGAGGCCGGACCCGTGAAAGGCTGAGCCGGCCAGCGCGACAGGTTCGCCCTCCAGACGCGCCTCCAGCCGGGCGACGGCGGTCCGGTGCGGCTCGTTGAAGACCGGCAGCGCGTCGGGCCAGCGTGAAACCCAACTCGCGAGCGGCTCGCCCGTCACCGTGAGTACGCGGCCCAGACCCTCCCGCGCACGACCGATCCAGGTCTCATCGTCAAGCGCGCGCCGCCCGGCGAGCTCCGCCGCCTCGGGACGAAAGAACAGCCGCAGCAGCACCCGCGCCGGACCACAGCGGCCGGCGAACTTGGTGCTCGTGAAGGTGCAGGCTCTGAGCCCGTTGCGCTGGGCGTCTGGTGCGACCACGAACCCGGCGGCGTCGAGCGGGTGATCGACGGCCGCGCGCGCGAACGCCAGTTCCACCGTGACACTCGAGACCAGGGGCGCCGCCGACAGCGCACCAGCCTGTGGGTTGCAGTCCGGCTGCAGCAGACGCGCGGCCACCCGCGCCGGAGTGGCGACGATCACCGCATCCGCATCCAGGCATGCGCCGTGGTCCAGGACGACGCGGGCGCCGGTCGGTCGCGGTTCGACCTGCCTGGCCACCGTCCCGGTGCAAATCTCGGCCCGTCCCTCGAGATACGCGCTCACCGCCGACACCAGGCTGCCCATGCCGTCCCTGAACGTCCGGATGCCCTGTCCAAGGTCGTCCCGGGGCACCTGAAAGCCGAGCAGTGTCGCCGCCTCACCCGGCGCCAGCAGGCGCAACCGTGCGCCATCGAATCCGTAGGACCGCGTCACGGCCTGGCCGATCACCTGACCGGGCATGCCGACGGCGCCGGCCAACCGGGGCAGCGCCTCGCTGCGGAATACGAAGCCCTCGGCGCCCCGCTCGACGACACACCCCTCGTGCACCTCGGTCAGGATCTGTCCGCCCAGGCGGGGGCCGGCGTCGAGCACGGTGACGGCGCAGCGGGACGACAACCGCACGGCGGCAGCCAGTCCGGCCAGACCACCGCCGATGACGACGACCCTCTCCTCTGCGGCGGCTAGGAGTCTGCGCCGTAGAAGATTGCGAAAGCGAAAATTCGATATCGCCATGGATTTCTTCACTCATTTGAGGAGCATAGCGGCACTATGTGACGAAAAGGAGTGGTGAAAACCATGAGTGAGAGCGGATTTGCAGCCGTAATCTTTCTGCGGCGCAGGCTCCTAGCTCCATTGGCGCTGCACCTGTCACAGAGCGCCGGCGGCGGTCGTGGGTAATCCGCTGTTCCCGGCGCTGGAGTACGACGCCTCGACCTGCCCGCCGTCCAGCACGATTACCCAATCGGCGATCGCCCGCACCTCCGCCTCTGCGTGCGACACGTAGACCATCGGTGTACCCAGCTCGTCCCGAATCCGCTCGAGATAGGGCAAGATCCGCGCGCGCAGGCTGATGTCGAGCGACGCGAGCGGCTCATCGAGCAGCAGCACGGCCGGCGCGGTCATCAACGCCCGCGCGATCGCGACACGCTGCCGTTCTCCGCCGGACAGGGCACCGACGCCGCGGTCGAGCAGCGGGCGCAACTCGAGCAGGTCGAGTATCTGATCGGCCGTCGCCGAACCGGCGCCGCCGTGGCGGACCGCCGTGCCATACATGATGTTGCGTCTGGCGTTCAGATGCGGGAACAACGCCAGATCCTGCGGTACGTAGCCGACGCGCCGCTGGTGCGGTGGCACGTCGATACCCGCCCCGGTGTCGAACAACGTGTGCGCCCCGATCCGGATCACGCCGCGGTCCGGCCGCCGCAACCCGGCGATCGACTCGAGGACCGTGGTCTTCCCTGTCCCGGACCGCCCGAACAGCGCCACGACCCGGGCATCGATCCGTTCATGGATCGCAATGGCGAACGTCCCCTGGCGCAGGGAGAAGTCAAGCGTGATCACGTCGCACCGGCCGGATGGTTCGTGAGCCGGTTCGACAGGAACAGGGCGCCGAACGCGATGGCCGCCGAGACCGAGAGCATCGTCACCGCGGCCGCCTGGTTGCCGGTTTCCGTGTAGCCGAAAATGGCGATGGCGATGGTGCGGGTGCCCGGCAGCGCACCGGCCACCATGATCGTCGCGCCGAACTCGCCCAGCGCGCGCGAGAATCCCAGCAACGCCCCCGCCAGCACGCCGCGGCCCGCCAGCGGCAGGCTGACCGTGATGAAGACGCGCGACGGACTGGCCCCGAGCGTGGCGGCGACCTGCTCATAGCGCCGGTCGACCTGCTCGAATCCGGCGCGCGCGGCCCGCACGAGCAACGGCAACCCCATCACCGCCATGGCCACGACCACCGCCCGCCACGTGAACAGCATCTCCAGTCCGGTCTGCGCCAGCAGCCGTCCGAGCGGACCGCGGCGCCCGAGCACCCAGAGGAGGATCAACCCGGTCGCCACCGGCGGCAGGACGAGCGGCAGCGACACCAGCGTCTCGAGCATCGAGCGGCCCGGAAACCGCCGGCGCGCCAGCAGCCAGGCGACGGCCACCCCCGGCGGCAGCATGAGCAGGGTCGCCAGCGCCGCCATGGCGACGGTGAACGACGTGACCGACAGCAGTTCACTGGTCATGGTCCGGACCCGACCAGGATGAATCCGGCCGCCTCGAACACCGCGCCCGCCTGCGGCCCCCGCAGATGGGCCAGCAGCCGCCCGGCCGACTCCGGGTCGCCCGACTCGGCGGCGACCGCCGCGGGATAGCGGATCTCCGGCCCCTCGGTTGCCGGCACCGCGAACAGTTCGGTGACCCGATCGGAGGACAGCGCGTCGGTCCGATAGACGATGCCGACGTCGACCTCGCCCGCCTCGACGGTGATCAGGGCGGCGCGCACGCTGCGGGTCGGCACCAGCCGGCCCTGAAGCTGGTGCCAGACGCCAGCCGACTCGAGGTATCGGCGCGCATACACGCCGGCCGGCACCGCCGCCGGATCAGCCAGCGCGATTCGCCCGACCGCCGCGACCAGCGCCGCCAGCGACCGCACCTCCAGCGTACTGCCAGCCGGCGCGACGACGACCAACCGATTCCCGAGCAGATCGACGCGGGTGCCGGCGTGGATCAATCCTGCCTCGTCGACCCGATCCATCTGCGCCTGATCGGCGCTGATGAACAGGTCGATCGGCGCGCCCGCGATCATCTGCGCCGCGATCGTGCTGGAAGCCGCCAGATTCAACTCGACTCTCGTGCCGGTGTCACGCTCGTACGCCTGCGCCAGCGGCTCGATCACCGGCGTCAGGCTGGCGGCCGCCGCGACGATGAGCCGGGGACGGGGCTGGGCGCCGCCCGATCCGCACGCGGACAGGCAGGCCGCCAACAGCACCATGGTGATCACACGATACATGGTCGATCAATTTAGTATGATTAGAGTTGATTTGGCAAACGACTTGAGTCGATGAAGCGGATCATTCATCGGGAGCTGACTATATGGCGGTGCTGACGGTACGGGAGGCGGCCGACCGGCTGGGCATCGGCTACCAGACCCTCAAGCGTTGGATCTACAAGGGCAGTGTCAGGACGACCCGCACCGATGGCGGGCATCACCGGATCGCCGAGTCTGAGGTGGAGCGGCTGCTCGCCACGTCAGGCGGTTCGGAACGGACGCGAGTCTCGCGCCGCGGCCGGACGGGCGGCGTCCTGATGCTGGTCAGCGGACGCAACCGGCTGCGCGGCATCGTCGAAGAGGTGCGGCGGGACGGCCTCGTGGCGCAGGTGCGGCTGCGCATCGGCGACCAGCAAATCACCGCGGTGATCACACGAGACGCGCTCGATGAACTCGGGCTGAAACGCGGTCACGAGGCCACGGCGCTCGTGAAAGCGACCGAGGTGATGATCGCCCGTGAAGCGCCGGATGCCGCCAGAGCGTGATTGGTATACTCGCTGACGGGGGTTCCAACAGCGAGGAACATGCCCATGTCTCGTTATCTTCCTGCTATCTGTCTTGTCCTGATGGTCATGTCGCCGGCGCGCGCCGCGGCGCAGACCGGAGCGATCACCGGCAGCGTCGCTGACGAATCCGGAGCAGTGGTGCCGGGCGCGACCATCACGTTGAGCGGTCCCGGTGTCTCGCGCGTCACGCAATCGGATGGCACCGGCGAGTACGCGGTCGCCGGCCTGTCACCCGGCGCCTATACCGTGACGGTGTCGCTGAGCGGCTTCTCGGACGCGACCGTCGAGTCGGTCGACGTCTCTGACGGGTCGCTGGCGGTGCCGGTCGTCACGTTGCAGATCGCGGGTCTCGGCGACACGGTGGTCGTGACCGCGTCGCGGACCGAGGTGCGGGATCGTCGACGCGCCGGTGACGACCTCCGTCATCACGAGCGACACGCTGGCGACCACGGCCAGCTCGAACGTCGGAGACGCCCTCCGGGCGGTGCCAGGCGTCAACGTGGTCCAGCTTTCGGCGCGCGACGTCAATGTGGCCAGCCGGCAGTCGGCGGGCACGCTGGTCAACTCGCAGCTCGTGCTGGTGGATGGGCGCAGCCTCTATCTGGACTTCTTCGGGCTCGTCATGTGGGACCTCGTGCCGGCCAACTTCAGCGACATCGAGCAGATCGAGGTCGTCCGCGGGCCGGCGTCGGCCACCTGGGGCGCGAACGCCATGACCGGCGCCGTCAACATCATCACCAAGCCGCCGCGTGAATCGGTCGGGTCGACGGTGACGTTGAGCGGCGGCTGGATCGATCGGGAGGCGGGTTCGACCGTCGGGCAGGGCGCCGGGACGATGGTGGGCGCCAACGCGACGGTCACGCGGGCGCCGACAGACCGCTTGGCATACCGCATCAGCGCCGGGTACTTCTCGTCCGACGCGTTCCCCCGCCCGACCGGCCGCGTGCCCGTGATCGCCGACCCCAGGATACCGGGAGGCGTAGTGGGCGGCGCCCCGTATCCCCTGGACGGGGCCGGTACGTTCGGCGCCGCGTTCGCGAACCGGGGAACCAGCCAACCGAAGTTCGACGTGCGGGTGGATCAGGAGCTGGCGGACGGTCAGCTCTCGTACACCGGAGGCATTGCCGGCACCGAGGGTCTCGTGCACAGCGGGGTCGGCCCGTTCGATGTCCAGCCCGGGTCGTATCTGGGCTACGCCAAGGTGAATTACAGGCGGGGGCAATCTACGGGCGCAGGTCTTCACGAACCTCCTCGACGGCGACGCGCCGAACCTGCTGCTGCCCGACCCGGCCAGCCCCGGCCAGCCGGTGAATCTGGTGTTCAAGTCCAAGACGTTCGACGCCGAGATCGGCCACTCGTCGTTGTTCGGGGACCGGCACCTGCTGTCCTACGGCGGCAACGTTCGCCGCAACACCTTCGACATTCCATTGCGCCCATGGCGGAGAATCGACTCGAAGCCGGCGCCTATCTGCAAGACGAGATCTTCTTCGACCGGTTCCGCCTCGTCCTGGGCGGACGGGTCGACAAGTTCGGCAACCTGGACACTCCAGCGTTCTCGCCGCGACTGGCATTCATCTTCAAACCGGCCGCGGACCACTCCGTGACGCTCTCCTACAACCGGGCCTTCCGGTCGCCGTCGATCATCAACAACTTCCTGGACATGAGCATCGTTCAGCCCATCGATCTGAGCGCACTGGCCGCGTTCAGGCCGTTGCTGCCGGCGCTGCTGCCGCCCGGCCTGCCGCCAACGCTCGCGCCGGTGGTGCTGCAGCAGCTTCAGCAGCAGCTCGACCAGACAACGGCGCAGCCGTTTCCGCTGGTGGTTCGCGTGGCGGGCAGCGACCTGCCGGCTGGCGCCGCGCCGCGCACCGGGCTCACGGAAGAGTCGCTGACGGCGTATGAGTTGAGCTACACCGGCACGTTCGGACGCGGGACCACTGCCGGCGCCGCGGTCTACCTCAATCGGCGGGACGACCCGATCAACTTCGTGCCGTTGCCCTTGGACGCCGACCCGTACACGGCGGGAGCGCCGCCGCCGGGGTGGCTGCTTCCGCCGCAGGTCCTGACGTTCATGGCGGCGCAGGGCGTCGTCCTGCCGCGGACGGCCTTCACCTACGTCAATCTGGGACCGACACGGCAGATCGGTGCGGAGTTCTGGCTGGATCAGCGGATCTCCCGGTCGGCGTCGGCCTGGGCCAACTACTCGTGGCAGGACGAGCCGGAAATCCTGGAGTCAGCGAACCCGTACTTGCCGGAGGAGCTCGGCCTGCCTCCGGCGCACCGGATCAACGTCGGCGTGTCCGTGAACGGTTCGCGATTCCTCGGAAACGCGTCCGTGAGCACCACGACCGACGCGTTCTGGAGCGACGTCCTCACAAGCGGTTTTCACGGCTACTCCGACGGCTACACCCTGGTGAACGGCAGCTTCGGCGTGAAGTGGGACGGCGGCAACCTCACCACGATGCTGAAGGTGACGAACCTGTTCAATCAGAGCATCCAGCAGCACATCTACGGCGACATCCTGCGGCGGACCGTCCTCGCCGAGGTGCGCTTCAGCATGTAGCGGGCGCCGCTCACGCCTGCGACTCGATCAACGCCTGCAAGCCCGCCACGTGCCGGAGCAGTGCAGCGCGGCCCGCCTCCGCCAATCGGTATCGAGTCTGCGGGCGCCGGCGCACGAACCGCTTCTGCTCCGTGACGTAGCCGCCGTCGACCAGCTTTCCCAGGTGCGCGCTCAGGTTGCCGTTGGTGGCCTTGACCGACCGCTGGAGGTCGGTGAACGTGGCCCACTCGGCTGTCACCAACTCGGCGATCACCGCCAGACGGACCCTGGACAGCAGAAGATCATCCATCGCCGCTCCGACGCCACAGCACGATGCCGGGCACGACGAACCCCGCGAACCAGCCCGCCGTGAGCATCCCGTCGAACCAGGTCTGGACGAACGGTGCGATCACGCATGCCGCAAGCATGGCGATGCCTCCGGCGAGCAGGAGCCGACTCGACTGCAGACCGACAATCAGCAGGGCGATGCTGAACCCCGTTGCCCACACCAGCGACATCGCGCCCACCGTGATCACCGTGTTCTGTGCGGTGACGTTCAGGATCAACAGCACGGCGAACGTGACGCCGAACGTGACACCGGCATGGCTGTCGACCAGCGTCTCGCGCTGCGCCGCCGGGCGGCTGCCGGCCCAGACGGTGAGGCCGATTGCGGCCAGAATCAGCGGAACATGAAAGAACTGGTCGGGAGGCACGGTCAGACCGGAATCCCGGGCCTGGTGGACGCCGTTGATGATCACCGCGACCATTCCCCACGTGATGAGGATGGCGGCGCGGATGTGCAACGTCCGGTCAGCGTTCGGAGAATCGGTCAACCACGGCCAGATCGTCGCGGGCGGTTGGACTTGTCCATGTGCGCTTACTCCTTGGATATTTAGTCTTTTTACAGGACTAGTCTGCCATGCACACATTGTCACCGCAGCCGGCAGAGGCACGTGCGGCCCGCCGCACGGTTCCCGCTCGCGGCGCCGCGCATCACCTCAACGCCGCGCTGACTGCCGAACCGCTCGTGCAGCAGGCTCCGCACGACGAACAGGACGTTCGCCGGCCGTTCGGCGAGCCGCCGCATGAAGTAGGGGTACCCATCCTACACAGTCGGCGCCGAACGGCAGATAGACTCCGCACGGCGTCGCCGTCGCGCGCTCGAGCGCGGCCTGCAGGTCCCGGCGGACGCCGTAGAGCATCTGAACTCGAAACGTCGCGTGTGCGACCGCCCCGGCCCTCCGCGGCCGCCAGGCCCGCGCGAATCATGGCGCGGGTCAGGGTGCGAACGCCGGTGGATGCAGGTGTCGAGCAGCGTGTCCACCAACTGCACGAACGCGCGGTCGACGTCGGCCTGTCCGGATACGCACGCCGGCCGGCTCCTTGTAGGCGCATTCACATCCCAGCACGCGAACCGACCAGGCGGCCGCAGTGACGCGCGACCAGATCACTCCGGCGTGCGCCGGAGCGCTCGACTGCAGCACCACGCGACTGTGCGTGCCAGTTGCGCGCGCATCGCCGCGCCAGCGAGGCGAGCGTGCGGTCGACCAGCGGCGAGGCACGCCATGTCGATGCGGGACGAAGCAGACGTCGGGCGTCGGCGTGCGTCAGGATGAGCGCTCGCGATTGTCGCGGACACAGCCCCGTGTCGAACTACCGAGACCGAGCTGCGTCAGCCTTCACCGCCAGGTTGCATGGCAGGCCCCGCCTGACGCGCGGCCCTCGATGACCGACAGGTAGGCGTAAGACGGTCGCCGCCTCGGCCGCCTCGCGGTCGTGGACGTGCTCACACGAGATAGTGCACGTGTGGAGCAACCCCGTCGCCCATGCTCGAGTACGGCGGCCGCGTCGATCGCCTCGTCGATGTTCCGCCGCGCCAATGAACCGGCGCGCGACGCTCGAGTGAGCTGCGCATGCCGTACGTGGCCGCGGCGTACTTCACCCGACAGCCCAGCGGCTGCCGGCGTCGCGAGGAACAGCCGGCGCGAGACGGGCGTCCAGCACAGCCGAGGGCGCGTGAGGTCACGCCACATGCCAGCATCACCTCGACACGATCGGCCGTCACGCGTCGTGATGGCCAACATCAGCCGCAGGAACGAGAAGCATCACCGCGCACGTCGTCGGCGCCGGACAGCCGACCGGACACCTGGGCGGCCCAGAAGCGGGCCACGGTCCTGCCAAGTAGAGAAGGAAGTGGTGTGGGTTACATAAGCAGAAAAGTCGCGTTTGCCCTGGCGTCAACATGGTGATCGCCGTTCGACGTCCTCTGACCTCGACATTCAGCCGCATTCCGTGTCCTGCAGCGCGAAGTCCAGTTTCGCTATCCCTGGACGTACAGCTTGCCCCTCTGGCTGCGAAGCCCCGCGTCGCGCATGGCGTCCAGCAGGCGCGCCTCGGCCTGACTGTCGCCGTCCGATCTCGCTCGTCGATCGGCGGT